CCGTCGCTTGGTCTCGACTCGGGGCTGTCCCGCAGCTTTCCAGGTTCAGCTTTCGGGTGCAGTTCGCGCGGGGACGCGCCCTAGCCCACCGCCGCCATGGATGCCATCAAGAAGAAGATGCAGATGCTGAAACTGGACAAGGAGAACGCCTTGGACAGAGCCGAGCAAGCCGAAGCGGACAAGAAGGCAGCGGAGGAAAGAAGCAAGCAGGTCTGCACCAAGGGCCCAGGCGCGGCCAGCTCTGGGGCTCCTTTCTTCCTAGGCGACTACTCTCTCTCCCTCTCACTCCCTCCCGCTCTCCCAGTGTAACTTGTTGCATTCCTCTCCCCTCCGCAGGACTGGTTTAACTTTTCCTAAGGCAGAGCTTCACCCTGGCAGCCCTTGGCTGGAGGTTCCCTGGGGCCCGAAAGGAGGTCGTTCCCCCGCCCCTGGCACCCCAGCTGGGGACTGGGGGCCCTGGGGGAGCCGCATAGCCTTTGTCATGGGGGCACGGCCGTATGAGGCTGCCTGAGGCACCTGGTTAGCAACGCATTAAAGCTGTGTTTGCTTTCTCCAGCACCACCCAGCAAACTTCTCCCATGTCAGTGCCCCCCTTCCCCGCCCCCCCGTATGCGTCCCATTTTCCTGGCCTCCAACACCTCTCCTTTACACCTGGAACTTTATTCGACTGGGGGAGGGGGCCATATTGGTTGCATTTTTCTGGGAGATCCTGAAGGAGGAGGGAGGGACGGAGAGTGATTAATTTCGTGCTTTTCTAAGCCCAGGGAGAAACATATTTGTGCATTGTATTTCCTCTTGTGCACCTAGTTAGAGGATGACATTGTGCAATTGGAAAAGCAATTGCATGTGACGGAGGATGCAAGGGACCAAGTGCTGGAAGAGCTACACAAGTCTGAGGATAGCCTCCTCTCCGCAGAGGAGAATGCTGCCAAGGTATCGTGCCCTTGCCACAATCAAAGAGAATCTAACTGTCTCTCCTTCTCTCTCTCTCTCTCCCTCTGTCTTTTTCTGTCTCTTCTGCACTCGCACTTCTCCCATTGCACGATCACGTTGCCTGCTGCACCTTTTCCTGCCCGCCCTCCCCTCTCCACCACTTTCCACCCGTATCACAGCTGGAGGACGAGCTGGTGGCTCTACAAAAGAAGCTGAAGGGCACTGAGGATGAGCTGGACAAATACTCCGAGTCCCTTAAAGATGCACAGGAAAAGTTGGAACTGGCTGACAAAAAGGCCACAGATGTAAGTTACCCCAATCCCTTTCACCACCACCCCAGTACGGAAACCACACATTCCCTCTGCACAGGACAGCCAGGACTCCTACCAAGCAGCGCATCAAAGCTTTGCTGAGGGCAGGGTCCAGGCAGCTCCTAGGCAGGGCCGTGGGAAACACAGCACTGTCTCCTTGCATGAGGTTTGCACGCTATCAGAGGCATTTGATTTGGTTTGTGCTCACTTGACATGTCCTTTTCATGCGTACTTGTCAGTCTAGACGTGAAAAGTAAAGAAAGGGTGGATTGTCTGTTCAGGCGATGGGGAAAATGGCTCAGGCTGGAACAACACTATCGTGATAGTGAAGCAGAATCAGTTAATAGCAAGTAGCTCCAGGAGAGGGAGATCCAGAAGAGCAAGGGCTGCTAGTTCTGTCTTCAAGAGACCTGTTCCTAGGCATGCATGTGTTAGAAGTATTGCTAGATACTGGTTTGGCTCATAAAAGAGGAGATAAAACTTCCTCTGCTAGATTTTTTTTTTCCTTGGAAATCACTGGAACTGTTTCACTTGTAAAAGAAAAGTTCAGTCTTGTCTGAGAGAAGATTGTCAGGAAGATGATACTTGCTAGGTCTGCAGTCCAGAGGACAGGGATCTTGAGCGCAAGCTGGGAGATATATATAGCTCAGCACTTTATATGGTAATAATTTAAGAGCTTGTGCCTGTCTCAGGCCCTCATCCAACCCACCTGTCTGCCCCTGACATGCATTTAATGTATTGCATGCATGGAGCCATGGTGAATTTGTTAAGGTCCAGATCTCTATGGCTGCTGCTGTACACTCCAGTTCTCTCTGGGTCAACCTCAGGTCTGAATTACAGGTTTAGGTGAAACCACATTATTTCCAAAGCAGTGACCATCCTTTTCCTATAACTTGGCTTTAAAAATTAACCTCAGAGCCATAATAAAAAGAAGAGTTGCCACAGATGAAACAAGCAAAGTATTTCAGGGGAAACGTTACCAAAACCAACTTTGCATGAGGGAGGGACAACATGATTTTATTTTGTTTTACTTCTAAAATGAACAAAGGATAAAAAAGGTTTAACTTCAATGTGGCAATTAAGTTGTATAGCTTTGAAAGGGAACTCAAGAACTTAAACATAAGCGTGCATAGGACGGGAGAGGGGTTCTCTGTATAACGCGCATCAGATGTCTGTCGTCTGCTGTGTATGGCTGCATAGATGAGAGGCAGCTTCCTTGCAGGGCGTTTACTTAACTTGTTCAAAGGAACCGCATGTAGATCCAGGGGAGATATTCCTTATAAGGAAAAGTATGCAGAGTATTTGGAAATAGCTCGTCTAGGATGAAGTCAGGAGAAATGCTACTAGATTCCCTTTTTGAAATGAAAGATCTTCCCGACCAATCCCAGTGCGGTTTTCCTTTGCTGGAAAACAGCCTTTGGAAGCTAGTTGAAGGGAATTTTATTTGGAGTCATCCCTCAGGCAAAGGGTAGGCAAGTATCTGGCATGTTTTCATCAAGGTAAATGCTATATTTAGTGGTATGCACAGAGTATGTCTGACGTTCTAAGGACGTCTGTGTTTCTTGATGGTACGGAGTATCTTTGGGGCATTGCAGCTGACCTAGTATTTGCCCTGCCAGTTTGGATTGTTCCAAGCCTTAGGAAGAAGTCACTGGCAGGGAAGGGAGTGCCGGCTCCCTGGAGGGAGCTCTCCTGTATTACACAGCGAGGTGAGGACAGCTTACCTCGCCAGTGTTTGTCACCTCGCGGCAGCCGGGCGCATCCCCTGAGCCGCCGCGTCTGGGGCGCTAGGCCC